GAGCCCAGATCTTTGGTAAGTGGTCTGTCCTATGAGTTGACTAGACTTTTGCATATTTTAGCTGCTGGCTTGTTGCATATTGGTTGGGAGTTGTGGAAGTTTGTAAGCTTGCGATGAAAAAAACGCCTTCTATGCGTGCGTTGCGAGTTGTCTCATATGTGGGAATAGTGGGAAAATGTTAGTGGATGAAATCTGCAAATTGGCTTTCCCGAAAGCGTAAGGGACTGCTAATTTCTCTGCATACAGTCACAACTGCAAGAAACGACGCTATTTCTCCGTTTCCGGTGAGGCCAGTTCAGGCGAACGAAATGAAGGGACCACTTACATGCGATTATAGGTGGCGCCTCCGAAACCCAGCTGCACGAGAAGCAGCTTCGAGCAGTGGTAAAATCTTCTCCAGTTCTCCAGAATCGCGTCATCGAGATTGCTGTTGCCAAGGCCGGTTGCTATTCATCGCCTCACCTCCGGCACTAGCCTCTGTTGGGATTGCAACCAAAGCAACTTCAGTAAATTTTGAAGAAAAACTATGTTGCTTGGGGGCTTATAGCCAAGTTTCGTCACAATGATTAGTAGTAGTTATTTATTGTATGTAGTGTTCGAGACACAATCAGAGCTGTGTAGTGGAATGACAGACGGCAAGATAGTCACAACCAGGGCTCGAATCCTGTCAAAGTTAATGATGAGGGGCAGTTTGGCCCTGCACAGTCTGGATGAAGTCATGCGAAACCTACTGGCATCCTAAGGCCTAATCATATAATTATGTGGGGAAACTCAACTATCAATCCTTAGATTAGAGTTAAACCACCAGGACGTCCTCTTCATTGCGCCTCCATGTGAAAATCTAATGATGTCTTAGGACAGATGTAGCTCTCTTTGGCGAAGGCTATGTTTAATATGGGATCAAAGTAGGTACTATGAAATCGATGACAACCAGGGGTATGCTTATAGCAGATATAAATCACAGAGACCATAAAAGACGGCAGATTTAGGGACATTTTCAGTCTATAAGTGGGTTACAAAAGTTCCAGTCCTTTATCGCTTATAACGAAATGGGGGGATACAGCTCTTAGATTGAGGGATATGTTAATTCAAAACAAATAGCTACCAGGATTAATAGATAATTACTTTGTTATGGTCGCAAAAAGAAATGGTGTATTTGCTCTGAGGGCGAAATTGGCTTAGGCTATCGAGGTTTTCCTCCCTTCATCTTGCAAAATGGTTGGTGTACTAGTGAGGAGATGGAGGATGAGAGCAAAAGAAAAAGAGAAACTAACACCTTTTTTAATTATACCCTCTTATCAAGAATTTTATGACCCCCTTCTAAGTCACTGCTTTACAAGATTTTGTGCTAATGTGGTAATTGTCGTGTGGGGGAGACCTGCCGACCCATCAGGCAGAAGGCACCAGAAGGCAAACCGCCCTTAAGGGTAGATGGGGTCAAAAGTCCGGGCCGACTGACACATGGTCAATTCAAGAGACGTAACAATTTGGTCGAAAACCCATCGTCTTGCAGGATTCGGGGATTTCACACTCACACATAAGACTTGGGAGTCTACACAAATTAATCGAGACAGCCAATATCTTGAATAGAGGGCAGAAGTTTATGAAAATGAGTGGGGAATATTTCTGGTTGCTGTACTGGCTTAAAGGGGGGAAGAGGGAACTGGTGAGCAC